TGAGTTCTTCCATAAAAATCCATAGTATTCCTAAATCTTACCTAATTCATTCATGTACCATACAAATATTGAAATATTAATTGTGTATATTAAAGTAAAAATGTGTGAACAGCATGTGCCAAGTCAGAAATGACTAAGAAAAATTAAAGCATCCAGAACAGGCAAAGCAGGAAGGATATTCTGTCACAATGCATGTAGTATGTCCGTGGATTAAAGATGTCTATTATTTTTGACATTTACTAGAAGTATATCTTTTAATAAAGTAGATTTCTTTCCTTTGCTCAATTTTAAAAACAGATTTTTTCCCCTCAACAGATCAGCTTCCAATTTTTTAAAACATTTTCCTAACATATAATTATCATCTTCCAAAGACCCAAAAGTGCTGTCAATGTGACTGAAATCAGAATGTAAATATTTTCTAAACAGCTGTCAAATCTCAATTGGCAGAAAACAAAAAGCCCCCGAATTGCTGTAATCTAACCACAAGGCTACATCATTTCATTGACAGATAAGACATTTTTCGAGTTTCCAATTTCCCATCAGCATTTTAATATATCAGAACGGTGTGCCATTCTGGATAGTCACTGTGACAATATACTTGAAAATGAAATAAACTCTAAAATGTTCTAAATAAGCTCTGAAATGCACTATGGGAGATGCCTAGCACAGAAACTGAATTCTGTTTCATGGAACATTTTCCACACTCACTGTATTTGGAATGTTTATTACTAACATGGACTACAAATTGGCATAAAGGGAACATTATGGCTATTTAAAAAAAGAGGAAAATTTTGCTTCTGCCAGTTCAATAATTTATTACTTCATTCTTTTGGGCCTTCATTCAGCAAACATTTCTGATTGCCTGGGTGACAGACTAAACTATTAAATCTATTTAAGATTCACACTACTGGGCTCTGTCACCTATCAGCATAAGTCAGAAATGCCACCAGTAAAAATATCTGAAGCAGTCACATGGAGGATCTCCTGTTATTTTCTATGCACCCCACTCTGTTTCTGTTACCAGAATTTTGTTTCAATTTTTTGTTTCATCTTTCACATTGTCTTGTTTTAGCAAAGATTTTCTTTGGGTTAACAGGAAGGGCTTCTCCAATACAAGTGGGTTCTTTTGGTCAATGACAGTACTGCGTTTAAGGGAGATACTGAAAATCAAATTTCCCCATCACCTAGGTTTTACAATTTTTTTTATTTCCCTTCCCTTCAATTCTATCTAAGGTGTGGACACATTAGGGATATTTAAGAGTACTACTTAATTTCTCTGGGATAGATGATCTATGGCATTAACTGCATTACATTTACTCATTCAATAAATATTTACTAAGCTTCTTGCAGGAAACAGGCATCTGTATAGACATCGTGGTTTCTGCAGTCAAGAAAACAGATAAGGCCTTGCCCTCACAGAGCTTCCATTATGGTATGGCAAGAGATAAATAACAAACAGCAAATGCATTGGCAAAATTCTTCATGCCCTGACTACATCCCTTAACCTATGTATGTTGGTAAGTATTTTTTCCATATGAGGATATTTTAACATGCCTTTAGAAATAAACATAGTGTTTAAAAGGAATTAAACTTGGATACCTTGGATAGTGCTGATTTTGAGATGGTGGTGAGGGAAAGCCATGATGGCTGAAGAATGGGTGGAAAGGGCCAGAGCCAGGGCAGTACAGATCAGGGGCCTGTGTAGCCAAGGCCTCAGAAAAAAGGAACACAAAGAAACATTCAAGGAAGAGCAAAGAAAGAAAGAAAAAAAAAAGTGACAGGGATGTTGGAGTTGAGGAAACACGGGAAAAGGCTATCCAAACAGTAACCAGATCTTGGATGCATAAGTCATGGTAGAACATTTGGGTTTTACTCTAAATGTAGAAGAAGGGGTTGACGAGTTTTCAACAGGTCTCAAGCAGGAGAGAAACACGATCTAATTTAGATTCCCCAGACACTGGTTGTTGTACAAGGGATGGATTCTGGTGGACAAGAATTCACCAGAAGTCCCAGCTAGTATGCGCGATTGTCCAGGATGATGACTTGGAGATGGGTCATTACAGCAGAGATAAAGAGAGATGAAGAGATTTGGGATGTATTTGAAAGACAGGAAAGGAAAAGAAAAATAATTGATAACTCTTAGATCCAATGGCCAAAAGGAAAAAAAAGTTGACTTTAGTGGATAAAGCATTCCCCTTCATTAGCAAAGGAGGTCCAACAACTGTTATTCTACAGTATGAGTGTATCAGAATATCTTACACCCTCAATTTACAAATAAAGAACAAAGGTCCAGATAGGTGAAAAAGCTTTTTTAAGCCTCAAAAGAGCTAGCAATCACCTGCATTTCCTGTCTAGTATTTTCCAACCCAGGGACTTTTCCATTATCCAGTACCTCTCCTGATTCAGCTCAGTACCTTATTCAATATTTTGCATGAGTTTCCTTAGAAAGGAATTTCATTATGTAATTTCTGCTTTGCCTGAATCTTTTTTCTGAACCTAGTAAGTATGAGTGAAATAATGGAGATCGACAGAAGGGAAATATTTAATACTGGGATTAAAGGTTAAAAGCTGGGTTTTCATGGCCACACATGGCCCATTAATCTTAAATTTTTATTTTATTTAATTTTTTATTTAATTTTTTATTTTTTTAAAGATTTATTTATTTATTTATACAAGCACTGGGTATAGTCAGAAGCGCGGGAGGGTGAGAGAATTCACCAGAGCCAGAGCGGGGAGCAGAGCAGGCAGAAGGACTAAAGTACACTGCTGAGGGGAGCAGCGGGCGGCAGGAGAGGTCTGTGCGCCATGTGGAACCCTCCTCCAGTAGCTGGGGAGCAGCCGGGGATCGAACCGGCGCTGCAGAGGCTGTGGGCAGCTTCGCAACCCAGCACTCAACCGCTGTGCCACCAGGGAGGCCCTTAAATTTTTATTTTAAAAGAATAGAAAGCAAAAAAGACATTTGGAATTAATATTGCCTTCATCTGCTTTCACAGTTAATTCCGATTCATCCTGATTTACCCAAAGCATAGTTTCCTCTTCTCTTTTCTTGAATATGTTCACTTAGTTTTTATAAATGGGTACTTTAATGGAAATTAGTGAACTGACGACGTCACTGGGTAGCTATTAAATGTCATCCCACAATAGCACAGGATCGAGTAAGATATTGTCAAGACCAGCACTGAGGTAGCAGAGTACAAGTCCAAGTGCAAATTTCACCTTTGACACTTATTCTCATAGACCAAGTTTATTAATATCTCAAAGAATCAGTATCCTCGTCTGCAAAGGGCAGATGACACTACTGTGAAGATTACATAAGGCATAGAAATGTGTATAGTACAATGCTCAGATGTGAATGCTAGGGAGTCAGCAAGATCTGCATTTGGCTGCATTCCCTGTTCTAATCCCTGTTGTGATTATGTTAATCATGTTTTTTTAATTTCTGTATTTTATGATGATTTGACAACTTAGTTCCTCCAAGGCAAGACTATCCCTGTTAGAGATAGCAGAGGCCTTGTTCAAGGGCACATCTTTCATATTAAACCAAACAATTCTGACTCAATAGCCCCAAAACTTCCTTCCCTAACTCACATACCAAGCAAATGTTTCTTCTACCCTAAATCAAACCATGTCTGGGTACCAGGCAACCAGAGACCAATCCTTAGGGTAAGAGTAAGGCTTACTTAGGGTAAGGCTTACTGACATCATTCTGACTGGCCAATCCTACGCTGTTTATCCTGCCTGGTTTTGTTTGTCCTTTGCAAATTCCCAAGAAAAGACTAAGACTCAGACATTTTTGCCTTCTCATTCCCGTCTTCTGCATCCTGACCCAACCTGGAGCTTCCTCATGGAGTACTGGGTGCATGAAGCGTCCCTGTTTCTCAGGAAATGTAAATAATTCTTTCAATGGCATCCACAACACTGTGCCACCAAGCAGTCACTTTCGAAAATGAAAAATGTTTAGCTACAAATATTTGAACAGCTTTCCAGGTAGGGAGATGGAATAATAACAAAGGAAAATATTCAAAAGTTTTCTCCTCTTGAAGCTCTGCTGTTTTAGCTCAGAAAAGGACTTAAATCAGGCAGGGAAGTTCTCTGCAAGCCCTATCATCCAAAGCTCATTAGCTAGAACTTGGTAATGTGGCCACAGAAAAGGAGTATGGGAAGGCAAAGATTTTTAAACTAGGTACTTTGATGTCTTTAAAAAAAAATTTACTTTTGAAATAAAGAAATATATCAGATAGACTACTAACACTGCAAAATAGAGAAAAGTATTACTAATGATAACAGTTTAAAAGTATTGAAATTTTTCACAATGTTGCCTTTTCTTTATGGTAATAATCAGATTTTGTACAGTATCCTGAATAAGGCAGTATAAATAAGTGATAATATTTAAGCTCCTAGGAATTAGAGAAGTTATAAGGTTTATATAATATATACTAAAAATTCAAACATTTTACATTATTTCAAAAAACCCATATTGCTAGAATTAAGATACAAATGAACATTTGAAATAACTTACTACATATTTAAACATACATTATATTTCATTGTATTTCTGAATCTTATGAACAAATAAGAAAAGAAGAATATTAAGAGGCACGATATTGAGCACAAATATATTTACATTAAGATGAACACAGCAGCAACCACAAATAGTATTATAATTTTTATTATAATTATATTGTAAATTATACTATAATTATAATATAAATTAAAACTCAATATGTAAATAAAATTTAAATATACAAAATATATTATGATTATATAATTATAATTACACTTATGAATTGCACGATAATAAATCTTTAACTCAGCAAAAAAAATGTAATGGTTACCAGAAGGAACAAAGATGAGGGAGGCAGATGGGGTCTGGGTTTGGCTGGTTTGGTGGAGGCAAAAAAGAAAAAAAAGTGTTATGAAACCAACTTAGACCTTCCTAGTCTTCATTAATCTCACACAGCAAGCCATAAGCAAAAAACTCAACTCAAAAAATGCCTTACCTTGCAGTACCTCAGTGGAATTTTTCAGTGTCATATACTTGGCTTCTAATCAGAACACAGGTGCTAGAAGAGAATAGGACAATTGGATTAACTAAAGTCAGGACTTTGGAAAGGGGAAAGTCAGTAAGTTACACAAAATTATTTGAGAAAATGTTAGAAAACTACAAATTTTTCCACTAAAAGTGATCTCATGAATCACTAACCACCTCAACCACCTCAACCAACCTCAACCAACCAGGTGCTCACCACCTCAACCAACAAGAGGACGAAGGTCAGAGAGTTAAAGTACATTGACAAAAGAAGCACATCCATTTACTTCTCATGGAAGGTTCTTCCTATAGCTGCATCCTCACACCTGCTAAAGCGCTAATCACAATGAAGGAACAAAATTTGAGAAGTGAAAACCAAGAAGTTGCTCATCCCTTTACTTTACATGTCAGTGATGGTGCCTTCCTTTTATAGCAAAGGAGCTTAGTGCTACTTTGAAAGAAAAAGTGATGGGAAAAACCCCTTAGGTGTTCCAGTCTGCTACCTCTTCCTAGAAATGACTAGACATATGAATGAACACACACACACACAGAGTTATCTTATGATTAGTTCAATTCCCATGCAGAGATAGAATCACATCTTAAAGAAAACTTAATCCTTAACCCCATGCCAGACACTAATATTCGCATTTTTAAATGTACAGAGCCTAACCATTGGGAAGCAGTTTTTTTAAGAAGGCTGACCTGGAGAAAGGAAGAAAGACATCAAGTTCCACGCAAGGAGAACCAGGGAAGTGTATTCTTGTGAAGGATGTCTTTGAGGACAGAGGATCAGAAAGAAACAGAAAATGTTACAGGAGAACTTGAGGATGAGGCTGGATCTGCAATTAGATTTTTATCTGGAGGAACTTGCAGCAGTGAAGGTGAAGTTCAATGACAAGAGGGCATAAAGAAGCTGTGAGTAAGAAACAGCAATTCTGAGGACTCTAGGATGTGTGTGGAGGGATTTTCCTTAGTAAAGGCGAGCAGAACTAAGTGTAGCCTCTCAGAGTGCAGTCCGTGACAAGGTCAGTGCAGACATGGAGAGAAACTCTTGATTAACAATGAAAAGATTTGTATTTTGTAGATTTTTCCCCCAAAATATTGTTCTGCATAAGACTAAGAAAAAAGGAAAACAAAATAGTCATTGGTCCTTTGTCAGCTTAAGAACACTATCTTAGAAAACATCAACCGCTTTGTCATTTCCATATCCCTCCCTCTGTCCCTCCTTTCTCTAAAAGTCTCCCTTTGATGCTGGTTACAGCCCTGGGACTATCAATTGAGGACCCTCTCCTGCTTTCAGAAAAGGAGCCGACTGACCCAAGTTACTGGTTCCCCTTCTGGGAGCTCGAGTCTGAGAAGTATGTCCTCAAGAAGGTCATGGCTAGAGCTGATCATTTCATGAGATCTGTTACTTTTACACGAGGAAACAGTGGCTGAAGGTGTGAGAGAGCAAAGGTTATTTGAATCCAGTTTGTCTGACTCTTCAGTAACTGCCTTGCCTCTTTTAGATATGGACACCTCCTCGTGAAATAAGATCTGTACAACTAGAAGTTCAAGAAAACTCAACCATGTTAATACTCCCATTACTTCTAGAGGAAGTGATGGGGAAAGCACTAAACAATACCTTAGTGGGAGAACAGTCATTTTTTTTTTAAATAATAAATTTTATTTTTATATTCCCCCATACAATTGCAAAAGCCCCATTCTGACCCCAATCCTTCCCTTCCCGCCCCCCACCCCCCAAAAAGTGTCTCTGGTTCATAGTTTTTTGTTGATTTTGATTTTCACTTTCTTATATTCATTTTCCTGGTCCCTTATTTAAGTTTTCTAGATTCCTGCTATGAGTGAGACCATCCGGTATTTTTCTTTTTCTTTTTGGCTTATTTCACTGAGCATGATCCCTTCCAGCGCCATCCATGTTGCTGCAAATTGCATGTGTTTATCTTTTTTGAATGCTGAGTAATATTCCATGGTATATATGTACCACATCTTCTTGATCCAGTCATCTATTTTTGGGCATTTGGGTTGTTTCCAAAGCTTAGCTATTGTAAACAGTGCTGCTATAAACATAGGGGTGCAGGTGTTCTTTGGAATTGGAGAACAGTCATTTTTATCCTTCATTGCTATCTAACAAATAGATATTTTCTGCCACATGGGTTATGCCAGTGAAACTAGATTTTGACTTTCACTATAGATTCATTATAGAATCTGAGGACCCAAAGGAGTGCTGAATTCCACTGAGGCATGTGTCAGTCTTCTCACCATAACTTAGTGTCTTACACATAGGAGTTGCTCAGTGGGCACTTGTTACATGGATTTTACCATTCAAATTAATAAATATCCAGAACACATTTGCCTAATTTACAAAGAGGAGTCCCAACATACCTACGTATTGAGGTTCAGATCATTTAAAATAAGTAAGCACTTCTATCTCAATAATGCAAAATAAGGTTGCATCATTAATGGCAAAATAGAAATAAACACTATTCAAAGTGTCTGCAGTAAAAAAATATCTTGGGTAGTAAATAAACTGGAGAACAATAAATAGGAGTGAACAAATTTCTCCTGTTTTAGACCTTTTAAAACATTCATTTTGAAAACCAGCCAAAGAACTGTCTATCATCCTAGTTTAAAATGCATTCTGTTGTAAATTAATTGCATGTGTCATTCATTTAGGGGTGAGCTTCCAATCTCTGAGTATAGCTGACAGGCTCATCCAAATCCTGGTAAACATATTTAAAATATGATTGGTGATTGCAGCAATTGTTGTCATAATCAGGCAGTTAGTCAAATAAAGAGCAAACAAAACCAGACACAGAATGATAATTATGGAAGGCTGGATGAGAGGCCACTTTCAGTAGACCAACAAGATGCATACTTTGATTTAGGAGGTCTTGAGAGAGGAGAAATACAGAGGTACATGATTTGTTAACATCTATTAAAAAAAGCAGAAGTTTTCTGTCAGATGGTGGGGTATCTATAGAGAACTAACTCTGAGAAAGGCATTCAATGATGTTTTGGACTTTCAATGTGAAAACTGTCGTGTTTCCTTAAAACTTCTCAAAATATCCTAATTGCCTAGTATCTAATTATTTTGAATGTGCGTATTGCTGTTTCAGGAAGATAGAAAAAAACTGAGCAGATGTTTTACAATCTAAGTTGGTGATAAGTGATCCATAGCCATCCGATTTAGACAGCATTATACCTGTTTACCGTCTTGAAATAAATACGTTCAATTAACTAATTAACAAATTAACTTGTATTTAGCTAAAATTAAATCCTGAACTCTAAGGGAGGATCTAAAATATTTCCCTTTTAATTTCACAAGATAACATTAGCTTTATAACCTGCCTTATATGCAGACCAAAATAATAAGCATTTTTGGCAAAACTGAGCCTCAGTCCTTTTTAATGGGATAGAATGTAGTTTAAAAATGTACATGTTATGCTAAGTCTGATTTGCACTGTATTTTTATTCTTAAACAGAATTCACTCAATATCTGTGCCCATGCAGATGCACATCCTGCCCTGAGGCCATCTTCTCATTTTAACCATCCCATCTAGAGAGAGAGAGACAGAACTTCACTGTAGCACTCTTTACAATAGCTAAGTTATGGAGATACCTAAGTGACTGACAGGGGAGTGGATAAAGAGGCTGTTTCTTTTAAAAAAATATATCAATATACATATGGATATAGAGATATAGACACACTCCTTAGTTACAAAAAAGATAAAACCTTGCCATTTGCAACAACATGGATGGAATTGGAAGGGATTATATTAAGTGAAATAAACGAGAGGAAATACTTACTAAATGATTTCACACATATATGGAATACAGAGGTAAAAAACCAAAGGAACAGACAAAACTAAACCAAAACAAACCATAGAAATATGACTGCAGAATTAGGGCTACTGAAGAGAGAGTGTGGGGGTAAAGAGCGAAGTGGGGAAGGAGCCCCAAGGACTATGGTGAAGGATGATGGTGCTTTGGTAATGGGTGTGGTATGGAAAATCCCTCTGAAGAAGTGTGAACCTGTGTTTTTAAATCATATACAGTGGTATAAATCAACATTACCTTAATAAAATATTAAAAACAAACCCAAATGGTTGTTATGAATAAAATCTCTCATTCCTTCATAACTGAAGGAAAAGGAAAATAAATGCAGGTTAAAGAGGTCAACAGAGTAAGTTTTGTTTCCTGAGTGCTGCAATGGTTATTATTCTTTATTTTATTTTTAAATGAGGTAATATTAGGATTCCCCCCTCCCCCCACCCCGGGTCAGGTATCCCCATTATAGTGCATGCATCACCAAATCACCCATAGTCCACCAGAGTCCACTGTGCTTCCTTCCCTCTTTGTTCTTACCCCTTACTCCACCTCCCCACTCTGGATGCTGCAACTCTATAGTCAGCTTTCAGGGGTTAGTTTTTAAGGTTGTCTCTCTTATCTTTAATTCTACATATTAGTAGACTATCTGGTATTTAAATTTCTCCTGACTTATTTCACTTAGCATTGTCCCTTCCAGTTTTACCCATGGTGCTATAAATACCATGGGTTTATCTTGTTTGACTAAGTAATATTCCCTTGTGTGCGTCTATAGACCACATCTTCTTGATCAACTCATCTATTTGGGGGTATTTAGGCTATTTCCATAATAGTGGAGTTACGGGTTGTATGGCAAATACATTTTTAAGGTTTTGAGACACCATCATACTGCTTTTCATAGAGTTGACCAAGACTTGTCATTATTCTTAATTTTTAGATGAGCTTCAGTGATCAAAAAACTCAGTTTTCCAGTACGCAATTGGTAAAGTTGATGTACAAGCACAGATCCTTTTCATTTCAAATCCACATACTACTAGTACTAACAACAACAGCAGCAACAAATACTGCACGCTCCAGATGCTATTGTGAGCCCTTTTCATACACCCAATCATTTACTCACCACTTCCTTATCCATTGTTATCTGCATTTTATAGATAAAGATGATGTCAGTTTGCTCATGTAGAACTATTGCTCTACAGGAATTGC